CTCTTGAGGCGCCTTAGAAAGGGGGAAAGGAGCTGCGCTGCAGTTGACTTTTGAGCCGACTCAAAAGTCAACAGGAAGGCGAACCAAAGCAAGAGGACGACTCTTGAGGCGCCTTAGAAAGGGGGAAAGGAGCTGCGCTGCAGTTGACTTTTGAGCCGACTCAAAAGTCAACAGGAAGGCGAACCAAAGCAAGAGGACGACTCTTGAGGCGCCTTAGAAAGGGGGAAAGGAGCTGCGCTGCAGTTGACTTTTGAGCCGACTCAAAAGTCAACAGGAAGGCGAACCAAAGCAAGAGGACGACTCTTGAGGCGCCTTAGAAAGGGGGAAAGGAGCTGCGCTGCAGTTGACTTTTGAGCCGACTCAAAAGTCAACAGGAAGGCGAACCAAAGCAAGAGGACGACTCTTGAGGCGCCTTAGAAAGGGGGAAAGGAGCTGCGCTGCAGTTGACTTTTGAGCCGACTCAAAAGTCAACAGGAAGGCGAACCAAAGCAAGAGGACGACTCTTGAGGCGCCTTAGAAAGGGGGAAAGGAGCTGCGCTGCAGTTGACTTTTGAGCCGACTCAAAAGTCAACAGGAAGGCGAACCAAAGCAAGAGGACGACTCTTGAGGCGCCTTAGAAAGGGGGAAAGGAGCTGCGCTGCAGTTGACTTTTGAGCCGACTCAAAAGTCAACAGGAAGGCGAACCAAAGCAAGAGGACGACTCTTGAGGCGCCTTAGAAAGGGGGAAAGGAGCTGCGCTGCAGTTGACTTTTGAGCCGACTCAAAAGTCAACAGGAAGGCGAACCAAAGCAAGAGGACGACTCTTGAGGCGCCTTAGAAAGGGGGAAAGGAGCTGCGCTGCAGTTGACTTTTGAGCCGACTCAAAAGTCAACAGGAAGGCGAACCAAAGCAAGAGGACGACTCTTGAGGCGCCTTAGAAAGGGGGAAAGGAGCTGCGCTGCAGTTGACTTTTGAGCCGACTCAAAAGTCAACAGGAAGGCGAACCAAAGCAAGAGGACGACTCTTGAGGCGCCTTAGAAAGGGGAAAGGAGCTGCGCTGCAGTTGACTTTTGAGCCGACTCAAAAGTCAACAGGAAGGCGAACCAAAGCAAGAGGGCGACTCTTGAGGCGCCTTAGAAAGGGGGAAAGGAGCTGCGCTGCAGTTGACTTTTGAGCCGACTCAAAGGTCAACAGGAAGGCGAACCAAAGCAAGAGGACGACTCTTGAGGCGCCTTAGAAAGGGGGAAAGGAGCTGCGCTGCAGTTGACTTTTGAGCCGACTCAAAAGTCAACAGGAAGGCGAACCAAAGCAAGAGGACGACTCTTGAGGCGCCTTAGAAAGGGGGAAAGGAGCTGCGCTGCAGTTGACTTTTGAGCCGACTCAAAAGTCAACAGGAAGGCGAACCAAAGCAAGAGGGCGACTCTTGAGGCGCCTTAGAAAGGGGGAAAGGAGCTGCGCTGCAGTTGACTTTTGAGCCGACTCAAAAGTCAACAGGAAGGCGAACCAAAGCAAGAGGACGACTCTTGAGGCGCCTTAGAAAGGGGGAAAGGAGCTGCGCTGCAGTTGACTTTTGAGCCGACTCAAAAGTCAACAGGAAGGCGAACCAAAGCAAGAGGACGACTCTTGAGGCGCCTTAGAAAGGGGGAAAGGAGCTGCGCTGCAGTTGACTTTTGAGCCGACTCAAAAGTCAACAGGAAGGCGAACCAAAGCAAGAGGACGACTCTTGAGGCGCCTTAGAAAGGGGGAAAGGAGCTGCGCTGCAGTTGACTTTTGAGCCGACTCAAAAGTCAACAGGAAGGCGAACCAAAGCAAGAGGACGACTCTTGAGGCGCCTTAGAAAGGGGGAAAGGAGCTGCGCTGCAGTTGACTTTTGAGCCGACTCAAAAGTCAACAGGAAGGCGAACCAAAGCAAGAGGGCGACTCTTGAGGCGCCTTAGAAAGGGGGAAAGGAGCTGCGCTGCAGTTGACTTTTGAGCCGACTCAAAAGTCAACAGGAAGGCGAACCAAAGCAAGAGGGCGACTCTTGAGGCGCCTTAGAAAGGGGGAAAGGAGCTGCGCTGCAGTTGACTTTTGAGCCGACTCAAAAGTCAACAGGAAGGCGAACCAAAGCAAGAGGACGACTCTTGAGGCGCCTTAGAAAGGGGGAAAGGAGCTGCGCTGCAGTTGACTTTTGAGCCGACTCAAAAGTCAACAGGAAGGCGAACCAAAGCAAGAGGGCGACTCTTAAGGCGCCTTAGAAAGGGGGAAAGGAGCTGCGCTGCAGTTGACTTTTGAGCCGACTCAAAAGTCAACAGGAAGGCGAACCAAAGCAAGAGGGCGACTCTTGAGGCGCCTTAGAAAGGGGGAAAGGAGCTGCGCTGCAGTTGACTTTTGAGCCGACTCAAAAGTCAACAGGAAGGCGAACCAAAGCAAGAGGGCGACTCTTGAGGCGCCTTAGAAAGGGGGAAAGGAGCTGCGCTGCAGTTGACTTTTGAGCCGACTCAAAAGTCAACAGGAAGGCGAACCAAAGCAAGAGGACGACTCTTGAAGGCGCCTTAGAAAGGGGGAAAGGAGCTGCGCTGCAGTTGACTTTTGAGCCGACTCAAAAGTCAACAGGAAGGCGAACCAAAGCAAGGAGCTGTGCAGCACCTCGCTACAACCTTTGAGGCGCCTCAAAATGACTTCTGAGGCGCCTCAGAAATCGTCCTTTGAGGCCCCTCAGAAATCGTCCTTTAAGGTGCCTCAAACGGAGGGAAAGGAGCTACACTGCACTGCACCGCGGTGCTAGTACCAGGGAACAGATTTAGATTTGTGTCCCTGTGAGGAAAGGGGCACTCAATAGCAACCCATTCGTTCAATATGAAAACTCTCACGTTGCCCTCTCTCTCTTTCTCTCTCCAGGAAAGCCACTCGTCTCTTCTCCCTGCCACAACTACTCCCCGCCCCGCCTCGCCGTGCGTTCCTCATGTGTGTTGCTACCGTCCCAGAATCCATACATGAACCAAGAACGGATTCGTGGAACAGAACGTCCCAAAGCTCCAAAGTCGGCTCAATTGTCGCAACTTGCATATTGCGTTTTCTCGCGGAAGAATTGCATCAATCCTCCCTAATCCTTCCCTTGTCAAAAACATCGAATCGGTTCAATTCTAGCAGCCTTTCGTGTGTTGAGTTACCTTTTCTAGTATGTTCGGCACCTTTTAGCATCACTTTCTTTTTCTTTCATTTTCTTCTGTTTTTTTTTTGTCAGCCAGAAAAGCTGAGCACTTTTCAATGCTTGCATGTTGAATGAACTAGAAGAATCCGCGCAGTTCAATAGTCGAGTCAAGTCAAAGTACCCTTCCCATTCTCCCCTTCTCTGCTCCCTCTCCTCCCTCACCTTTTCTGCTGCCTTCATCCGTCCCTCGTGCGTGTTGCTGCCGTCCCAAAAGAACGGATAAGGCACGTCACCGTCCATCATGCGTTGCCATGATTGGCCCTCTTCCTGCGACTCGGACGCGGCACCTCCTTGCGACTGCGACACCCTCTGCGACGCACCTCCGTGCGACTCTGCCGCTTGAGAATCCGTCGCGCGCGGGATTTCCCGCCAGACGCTCCCCGCGCCGATGGGTCCGCGCGCCAGCAGCGCGCCCATCTTGGCGCAGAAGTTCTGCTCCCCGGGTGCGGGCGGCTGGTACCATGTGCGCGCGCCGTCCGCGGGCGGCGCGTCGAACGTGCCGTGAACGACGATCACGTAGTCCGTCTCGCGCCGCGCGTTGTAATCCACCGTGCGAGCTCGCACGCCCGCCTCGACGTCGCCCGTGGTCGTAATTGCGTCGCAGGCGACATCGCCGTCGTCGTCCGGGAGAGAGCTCAGCTGGCTGGCGACGTCGTCGGAGTCGTTTTCAGCCGCCAGTCGTCGAAAGTCGTCGACATGATGTACCTCTCGCGGTTCGCGCGGCATTCTCAAGAAAATGAATTCGCGTTGAGATGTTGAACACGTCGGCGACGGAGTCGCACGATAAGTCAAGGTAAATAATAAACAAAGAGCTCGTAATCAAAAAGAAAAACACTACAGGAAGAAATTCCGATAAGGAGAAACTAAGTACGTCTGAGCTGCTCAGTCGTCCCGCTCAGTCGACTCGATTATTGCGAGATACAAGACAAGAGTTCCGGTGGGTAATGGCTCTGGCAGAGGTCGGTAGCGTATCGAGTCCGATATGGTTTTCACGTCACGGCTCGGTAATGTGAAGCCATGGTCATCACTCAGATTTCTTGGAAAAAAAGACTGTCGAGACTTTCTAAACTGGGACAGGTGAGGGGGCAAGTTGGCGGTTCGGGAAAGTCTGCAAGATCAAGGGAGAATGCAGGACTAAAGTCTGAACAGTTTTAAGCACGTTTGTTTATATAGCGCATTCAATTTTATACCCCTTTCACCGCATAACAGTAGGCAGATGCCAACAGACTGCCGAATCCACCCAGGAAGAACACTTCAGAAAAATCTCAAGTCATCCTGACAAAGGTCCAATTTGTATTCCTATTATGCGCTTCGCGATATAGGCAGCAAAACGCGGCTTGATTCAGTTTGATCTATTTGGAAGATCAGGAGTGACAGTAACTAACGTATTGTGTACATAAGGACGTGTGATTCTGGCAATCCCCGTCAACATCCGTCAGTGCCCTGTCTCTTGAAAGGGGGCACCAGAAGGCGGCGCGACGTGATCGACGACATCCGTCCATGAACAGAAGCGGCTCGACACCACTTTGCTGACGGTTGTCAGAGCGTGCCAAAAAACTGGGGTTCATTATAGTATACTTCATAACGTGCATCATCCAAGAACACTCAGAAGCATATATGTATAGCATGAAAAACAGCTTTAGGGCTAACCACGTTAGAAAAGCCAAGAACCGTTCCCGAACGTGGTTGACCGTATTAACTCGAGTCAAATGAACTCAGATACGTTTACGCCCGACCCGTTTGTACTGGGCAGATACTAGCATCTCTCGATGTGTTTCACCGCTGGCACGTTCCGCAACTTCACAAAGCGGACCGCATTTTCTTAGGAATGCCGCGCGAACCGCGGGAGGTACATCATGTCGACGAATTTCGACGACTGGCGGCCGAAAACGACTCTGGCGACGTCGCGAGCTCTCGCTCGGACGACGCTGGCGACGTCGCCTGCGACGCATCCACGACCACGAGCGACGTCGAGGCGGACGGCGTGCGAGTTCGCACGGTGGATTTCAACGCGCGGCGCGAGACGGACTACGTGATCGTCGTTCACGGCACGTTCGACGCGCCGCCCGCGGACGGCGCGCGCACGTGGTACCAGCCGCCCGCGCCCGGGGAGCAGAACTTCTGCGCCAAGATGGGCGCGCTGCTGGCGCGCGGACCCATCGGCGCGGGGAGCGTCTGGCGGGCGATTCCGCGCCCGGCAGATTCGCAAGGGGCAGAGTCGCAGGGGCCAGAGTCGCAGGGATCTGAGGTGCATGGGAGCGGGTCGCAGAGGGGGCAGTCGCAGGGAGCTGCTGCGTCGCAGAGAGCGCAGTCGCAGGGAGGTGCGGCGTCGCAGAGAGCGCAGTCGCAGGGAGGTGCGGCGTCGCAGAAAGGGGGCCAATCATGGCAGCGCGTGATGGACGGTGACGTGCCTTATCCGTTCTTTTGGGACGGCAGCAACACACACGAGGGCCGCGTGAAGGCTGCAGAAAAGGTGAGGTATGGAGAATGGGGAAGCAGGGAGGAGGGAAGGATGGATGCTTGCGCGGCTGTGCGGTAACACGCACTGACCACCCTTTTCTGAGTCAACGCATAAGCCGTCCTGTCCTGGCCTCTTCCCCCTTTGTTGCCCCCTCCCCCTCCCCCTATTCTACTTGGCTCTCACGGCTGTTCGACTGGTAACTCGCACTGACATGCTTTAATTATTCAACATATAAGCGGCCATGTTATCTTTCAGTCTTCGCCCCTCTCCCCCTCTCCCACTCTTCCTCACCTCAGCTGGCGAGGCTGTTCGACCTGATAGCCAGTAGGGACCCATCAGCGCGAATCCACGTGATTGCTCACTCCCATGGAGGAAACGTGCTGCTTAAATCCACCGAGCTCGTGAGTGCTGTTTAAGGCCCAGGTTCAGTTGCTATTCACTTGGTGCAACGTGCTGCTTAAAGCCACCGAGCTCGTGAGTGCTGTTTAAGGCCCAGGTTCAGTTGCTATTCACTTGGTGCAACGTGCTGCTTAAATCCACCGAGCTCGTGAGTGCTGTTTAAGGCCCAGGTTCAGTTGCTATTCACTTGGTGCAACGTGCTGCTTAAAGCCACCGAGCTGGTCAGTGCTGGTTAATTCCATCGAGTGGGTTACTGTTGTTTAAAGCCCAGGTCCTCATTGGCATTTTGAGTTTACCCAAAAGTCACCTGCACGGATGGAGCAATGTGCTGCTCAAGCCATTGTTCTTTTGAATTCTCAAAAACGACTCAGCCGTTGAGCTAGTAAGCTAGTGCTGCTGATTCACGCCTGCTGGTTTGAGCCTTCACCCCAACCTTGACCCCAGCCCAGGCCCCCCGCACAGTCCCTCTCCACACGCGGCTCTGCAGCAAAACTAGCATCAAGAACTCCCATGTCCACCTTCTCCAATCCACCCTCCCCTCCTTTTCCCCCACCAGTACATGAAAAGGCTGCCCACACACTGTCTCTCTCCACGCTGCATCCGGCCATCAGGAAGCGGTTTTGGGCGGCATACAGGCGAAGATTCGATACAATCAAGAAGTGGCGGCAGGTGGACCGACCCTCCGGGTGGGGCCGCTTCTTCCCGTCCCTTGTGGTCATGAGGAGGTGAGGTGAGGGGACCTGTGAGAAGGATGCAATTTCCTTGCTTCTTTCCTTTCTATGAGGGAGTGAGTTAACTCCCCGGCTTGCAGTGCAAGTGGACCGACACTCCGGGTGGCGCTTGGTTCTTCCCATCCCTTGTGGTCATGAGAAGGTGAGGTGGCTTTGCGTTTGAAAGAGGTTGGCGGCAGTTCGTGTGCTGCACTGCACTGCACCGCATCGCACTGCACTGCGCTTTCGGCACTGCTCTGTACGGCAGGTGCACGGTTCTTTCCTCCCTTGTTGGAAATGCAACGCGAGGGAGGTAAGAGGGCCGTGTAAGGGAGGTAATGCGGTTGGTAGCGGTTGGCGGCGGTTCTTTCCGCCGCTTGTGGCCCAGGGCACGAGAGAATATGCGGGTGGCAGCAGCGGGTGGCAGCAGCGGATGGCAACAGCAGTTTTTTCCCGTCCCCTGTTCTTATGCGCAGGTGAGGGCGTGCAGGTGAGGGCGTGCGGTATGGAAGGCAAGGTGTGAGGCAGGTTTTGAGTCGACTTTGTTGTAAATGTATCTTATATATACAACATACATAGGCTAGAATAGGTGTAGCTCTTTAAGCTATTGGGGGGTTGGGTGTACACTCCAACCACACTTTGTGGTTGGGTCAAGATTTGGTTTGGTCTTGGTCCTTGGTTGGCACTTGCCAACATTTGGTCCTAAGGCCAACCAATCACAAGCTAGCAACATTGTGGGGTTCCCTACTCCACAAGGCAACTCACCCATTGGCCAACTTAGTGGCCAATAGGGTTTGCACCTTCTTCCAACCTCTCTTCCTTGCATGCTTGTACTATAGAGCCTCCATGGCTCCTTACTCAATTATTCTTGAATCCTATCATGGTATTCAGAGCCAAATGGCTCACGCCACCTCCCTCGATCCTTAGGCCGTAATTTCCTCTCCGCTTCTCCACTCTAGCGGACTACGATGCACATCCGTCCACCCGCATCTTAGATCTAGCCTCCGCGACCTCAATTCTCCCTTTCGTACCTCAGATCTAGCTTTCCGCGGCTCAGATCTACTCCTCCGCGGTCTCAATCCTCCCCCCCGGCCTCAATCCTCCCACCCGCGGCCTCAATCCTCCCTCCCGCGGCCTCAATCCTCCCTCCCGCGGCCTCCAACCGCTCTCCCGTGGCCTCAATCCTCTCTCCCGCCGTCACGCCTCCCTCACGCCTTCCGTCGCGGACGACCCGCGCGCCGTCGCGGACGGCCAGCACGCCGTCGCGGACGGCCAGCACGCCGTCGCGGACGGCCAGCAAGCCGTCGCGGACGGCCAGCAAGCCGTCGCGGACGGCCAGCACGCGGCCACGAGCACCCCGCGCGCCGACGCGCACGGCCAGCGCGGAGCCATCGACGACCTGCGCGCCAGCGCGGATGGCCAGCACGCAAGCGGCGCCGATCCCCACGCTGACGCGGACGGCCACCGCGAAGCCACGCGGCCGTCCCTCGCGCTGACGCGGACGGCCGACGCGGAGCCACGCGGCCGTCCCTCGCGCTGACGCGGACGGCCGACGCAGAGCCGCGGCCGACCCTCGCGCACTCGCGGCCGGCCGGCGCGCCGCCGCGACTGACCTCCGCGCCCTCGCGGTCGCCTGCTCGCGCTCACCGCGACCTCCCCCCTTCATCCGCGCCCCGCCTCACACTTCCGCGCCACCCTCCCTCTCCCCTACCTCCTCCCCCCTGCTCCATCCTTAACTGCACCAGCAACAGCACCTAGCAGCGGCACCTTCAACCCTAAAACAGCAGCGGCACCTTCAACAGCACCAGCAGCGGCACCGACAGCGGCACCAGCAGCGGCACCGTCAACGGCACCAGCAGCGGCACCTTCCCGGCTTCGCTATCATGGCGTCCGCAGACTCATCGGTCGACTTGGCAACCATTGACTCTCTCGAGCTGTTGGGCGACAACTCGGCCGCCAACTGGCACTCTTATGCCCACTCCGTCGAGGTGTTGCTCTCCTCGGTTGTCGTCAGTGGATACACCCTCCGTTCAGTCGTGTTCCAGGAGGAAGGCGGACTCCAGCCCATCGCCCCTTCCCCTCCCACCGGACCTCCTCCTGACGAGCCCGGACCTGAGCCCGAGCCTCCTGGTGATCCTCCCACCTTCGCGCCGGATGTCAACAATCCTCAGAGCATGGAAACTGCCATCCGTACCTACCGCACCGCACTCAACGACCACCTTCGCCGTCAACTGCGCTATGAGGACGACAAGCGCGCCTACGACGAGGCTGCTGCCCGCCACCGCGATTACCAAGCCCGGCTCACCACGTACACTACAACACGTCTCGCCAGCTACAACACACGACATCGCTGCGTGGCGCATTGCTGACCGTCGAGCTCTCGCCATCCTCCTCGCCACTATCCCCTCCTCCCTCAAACGAGAGCTTTCACCTACCTCCTCCTCCCACCTGTGGCAACTGCTTGTCGACCTCTTTGACCGGCAGGACATCGCCACCCTCTATGCCCTCATCAAGGAATTTGGATCCATCACCATGGATTCCACTGCCGGCGCAGCCGCCTTTACTCGCCGCGTCCTTGACCTTGCTCGCCGCCTTGCAGCACTTGGCGTTACCTACCCTGACACCGTCATCTGCTGCCACCTCCTCGAAGGCCTCACTCCCGCCTTCGATGCCCACAAGCTCGCATACATGCAACTCCTCTCCAAGCATGACACTCCCGCTCAAGTTGCCCAGTGGATTATCACCACTGAGGCTGAAATCCTTCGCCACTCCTCCTCCACTGCCGCGGTAGCACAGCAGCGCAACGGCAAAGGCGGACGTGGGGGAGGGCATGGAGGTGGGCGTGGTGGTGGTCGAGGCGGCTCTGGCGGTCGTGGTGGTGCGGGTCGTGGGGCAGCAGCGGCCTTCCCACCCTGTCAGTATCTTCCCCTCTATGGCCCCACCCGAGGCCAACGCTGCAACCAAACCACTCATGCAACTGACGCGTGTTTCAAGGCACTCAGCGATGAGTGGTTCGCTCGTGGGAACTCTGGCACCCCTCCTCGCTGGTCCGCCCTTAATCCCCGCCCCACTCCCCTCGATGTTCGCACCTCTCCCCTCTACGCCCCCTCCTCCTCCTCCCAGGCCCACCAGGCCTTCACTCTCCCCTCTCAGCAGCAGCAGCAGCAGCAGCAGCAGCAGCAGCAGCAGCAGCAGCAGAGTGCCCACCAGCAGGGACCACAGCAGTACGGGCAGCAGCTTCAGCAGCTTCAGCAGCAGCTTCAGCAGCTCCGGCAGCAGCTCGACCTCCAGCCCCAGCTTCCTCTCCTCCCTCCTCCTCCTGTCCCCCAGCAGCAGCCGTTTCCCAGCTGGACCGCCGGAAATGCGGCCTCCGCGGCCCACCTCTCCGGTCCATCCCCTGCGCCGTCCACAGGTGGCAGTGTGACCCCCTTTCCCTCCTCTGGCTTTGTTGGCCTTCTTAGTCAGCCTCCTTCTGTTGCATCTCCTATGTATGCCCCTGCTATTAATGAAACCTCAATTCAGTATTCCGCCTCACCCTCCTCCACCCTTGAGTTCGTCTTGGACAGTGGAGCCACTGATAATGTCTTTCGAGATGCCGGCAAACTCAATCCTCTTCCCACATCCACGTCCCTCCTTGGCGCTGATAGCAGCTTTTCCATCCCCTGTCACAACACCTCCACCCTTCCCTGTCCTCTCTTTCCCTCAGGTACTGTCACAGGTCTTCACATTCCCTCCCTTCGCACCAACCTCCTCTCCCAAAGGTCCCTCCAACAATCCATGATCACCACTCTCACCCCAGGTGGTGCTAACCATTGTGACCTATACCAAACCTCCACAGGTCGCTTCCTCGCCCGTATTCCCTACTGTCCCCGCTCCCGTCTATACACCCTTCGGGTTCCTCGCCCCCTCACCTTCCAAGTTGCCTCCCCCCCCCCTCCTCCCCCCCCCCTCCCCTCCCCTCCACTAACCCACCCGTCCCCGCCCGCCCCCCTGACTCTGACTGCTCATGTCGCTCCCTCTCCCACCCTGCCATCCTCCTCCATCACAGGCTAGGTCACCCCAACTTCGCCACTCTGCGCTCCTCTGTATCCTCCGGTCTCCTCCACGGTCTCCCCTCCTCCCTCCCTCCCCTCCCAAAGTCCCCTGCCCCCCCTTGCGTCGTCTGTGTTCAGAGCAAGCTCAAGCAGCAGCCGCACCGGAGCTCCCCCTCCGCTGCTGCTCAGCCACTTGATCTTGTTCACATGGACCTCTGGGGCCCTAACCCTTCCCCCACTCGCCAAGGCCATCGCTACCTCCTCGTGCTCGTCGATGACCACAGTCGGTACTCGTCCGTCTCTCTCCTTCGGACGAAAGCGGACGCCCCGACCGCGATCATTGCCTGGCTCGAACAAGCCAACACCCATTTTGGCCGCCCTGTTCGCCGCCTTCACTCTGATGGTGGTGGTGAGTTCCTTAATACCTAACTTTCCTCCTACTGCCAGTCCCGCGGCATTCTCCAGACTCACACCCTCCCTCACTCCCCACAGCAGAACGGTGTCGCTGAGAGCCGTGTTCGGGAGATCACCAAAACGGCTCGGTGTCTTCTTGTCCACGCCTCATGCCCCCCTTCTCTGTGGGGCTACGCCCTCCTTCATGCCGCCCTGCTTACTAACCTTTACCCTCACCCCCTCCTCCCTTCCACCACCCCCACTGAGCTATGGACAAAGGACAAACCCGATGTCTCCCCTCTTCGAGTCTGGGGCTCTAAGGCATATGTCCTCATTCACCCGTCCGACCGATCCCGCTCCCTTGGAAAGCTTGCCCCTCGTACCCTTCCCTGCATCTTTCTTGGTCATAACTCCTCCTCCCCCGACTATCTTTTCCTCCACCCCCCTTCCGGTCGACTAATTCGCAGCAGAGATGTCGTCTTTGACGAATCCACCCCCTATTATTCCTCTCCTCCATCCACTGACCCACTCCCACCTCTGACTCGTCCTCTTGTCTGGTCTGACACCACCCCTCCCCCTCTCCTCCCTCCTCCCCCCATCCTCCCACCCCCCTCCCCCTCCGCCCTCCCAGTCCCACGGTGCCCCTCCCTCGTCTGGTGACATCTTTGATCCGGACCCTCTATCCTCCCCTGTCTCCCCCGCCCACTCCTCCCCCGGCGACCCTCCCCCTCCCTCCCAACCCTCACCTCCCTCCCCCACTCCCCGCACCATACTCACCCGGTATCCTCACACCAGGTTACGTGACAGTATCCTTGGTGCACCGCCCCCTGTTACCCTCTCTACCTCTTCCCTTCCCCCTCTTTCTCCCCTCCTTCACCACTTCTTCCAGGCTGTCTTACATCAAGCCCCTCATGCACCAGCCCTCTCAACCACCTCTCCATCATCGGCAGTAGCAGCTCCAGCAGCAGCCACCGCAGCGGCACCAGCAGCGGCAAGTGCAGCGGCAGCAGCGGCACCAGCAGCGGCACCAGCAGCGGCACCAGCAGCGGCACCAGCAGCGGCACCAGCAGCAGCACCAGCAGCGGCAGCAGCGGCCTCCACAGCAGCACCAGCAGCGGCACCAGCAGCGGCACCAGCAGCAGCACCAGCAGCAGCACCAGCGGTCATCCGCGCCTTCCACACCTCCCTCTCTGAGGACTCCCATGAGGAGTTCCTTGACCTCCACCTCTCCGACCCCTCCCTCCTCCCCATCACCTTTGACCTGTCTGGAACACCAGTCTTCGCCTTTTCCTCTGCTCCCTCCATCTTCGTCCCAACCACGTACGAGGAGGCCATGGCTTGCCCCGACGCCCCGCTCTGGCTTGCCGCCATCATCAAGGAGCTCGAGGCATTTATCGCCAACTCCTCCTTCGTTGATGTGCCCCGCCCTCCTTCCTCTACTAACGTGGTAAAGGGGAAGTGGGAGAGCCGCCCGTCTACAAGGCCCGGTATTGCGCCAAGGGCTTCACGCAGCGGTATGGTTTTGACTTCTTCGACACCTTCTCCCCCACCGCCAAACCTGCTACCGTTCGCGCTGTTCTCAACCTCGCCGCTCGCCTCAACATGGAGATCCACTCGATGGATGTCTCCAACGCCTTCCTCCAAGTCGTCCTATGTGAACTGATCTACATGGAGCGCCCAGAAGGCTTCCACCTCCCCTTCCCCACCGACTCCGTCTGGCAGCTGCGCCGACCCGTGTACGGGCTCCGTCAGGCACCCAGGGAGTGGCATGCCAAGCTCGCCGCCACCCTTGCCGAGCTTGGCTTTCGCACCTCCCGCTCTGACGCCAGCCTCTTCCTCCGCACCTCCCCCTCCCCCTTCTACATCATCGTCTATGTTGACGACATGATCCTCCTCACCGCCGACCTTGCCGAGCTCGAGACTGTCAAGGCGGAGCTGGGCAGCCGTCTCAAGTGCAAAGACCTGGGAGAGCTGCAGAACTACCTCGGCATGACCATCACTCGCGACCGCTCCGCCCGCACCATCTCACTCTCTCAGGGTCACTACCTCCAGCAGGTCTTGGACCGGTTTGACATGGCGCGCGGCAACCCCCAGCCCACTCCCCTCTCGGTTGGGCACCACCTCTCCCCACCCTCCTCTCCCTCTCCCTCCTCCCATCCTTATCCGGAACTCATCGGCTCTCTCATGTACGCCATGGTTTCCACTCGCCCCGATCTTGCCTACCCCATCAGCGTCCTCGCTCGGTTCGTTGGCGCTGGCAAGCACACGGAAGAGCACTGGCAGGCCGCCAAGCGTGTCCTTCGCTACATTCGTGGCACCAAGGACTATGTCCTCACTCTTGGCGGCCCTTCCCCACCACACCTCAACGGCTACAGCGACTCTTCCTGGGCTGATTCTCGACCGGATCGGCGGTCCTCTCAGGGTGATGGCTTCTCCCTCGGCAGCGGTCTCATCAGCTGGCGGTCCACACGCTCCTCTGCCGTCGCCCTCTCCTCCTGCGAAGCAGAGCTCTACGCTGCGACCATGGCCGCGCAAGAAGCACGCTGGCTCACCTTCCTCCTTGATGAGCTAGGAGCCCCCCAACGCTGTCCCACCATCTGGTGTGACAACGCCAGCACCATCCACCTCACCAAGGACGCTGTGTATCATGGGCGCTCAAAACACATTGAGCTTCGCTACTTCTTCATTCGCGATCTCGTTGAGGCCGGCCACATTCGTCTTGGCAAAATCGACTCGGCAGCCAACCTCGCCGACATCTTCACCAAAGCTCTTCCCCAAGCGTCCCACTCCTTCCTGTTGCGTCTCCTTGGGCTCACCCCGCCACCAGTTTTGGCGGCCTCCTGATTACATTTTTTCTAGCCTTATGCATGTTGGGGGGTTGTGTTGTAAATGTATCTTATATATACAACATACATAGGCTAGAATAGGTGTAGCTCTTTAAGCTATTGGGGGGTTGGGTGTACACTCCAACCACACTTTGTGGTTGGGTCAAGATTTGGTTTGGTCTTGGTCCTTGGTTGGCACTTGCCAACATTTGGTCCTAAGGCCAACCAATCACAAGCTAGCAACATTGTGGGGTTCCCTACTCCACAAGGCAACTCACCCATTGGCCAACTTAGTGGCCAATAGGGTTTGCACCTTCGTCCAACCTCTCTTCCTTGCATGCTTGTACTATAGAGCCTCCATGGCTCCTTACTCAATTATTCTTGAATCCTATCAGACTTTGTATTGAGTCGATTCTAAACACATGTGTGCAGGTGAGGGCGTGCGGTGTGGAAGGCGAGGTGTGATGCAGCGAGGCATGGGAAGGGAAGAGATAGGTAGAGTAAAGGTCCCGCCACAAGCCCCTCCTCTCCTTCTACCTCGTCACTGCTCCCCCTCTCACAGCATGCCATGCACCAACGTCTCTCAGAGCATTCTAGAGCACTACTCCTGGGGGCGCCAGTACTTGTCATGAAGAAGAGCCGCAGTAGGAAAGGAAGTCTTAAGCAAAAGACGATGGTTTCTCATTTTCAAAAGGTTACATTTTTTTCTAGAGGTCTCTCAGAGCATTCTAGAGCAGTACTCCTGGGGACGCTACCGCTGCCTCGACTCCCTCTCATCTCTTCTCAGCATATGCCCCTCTCCCCCTCTCCCCCTCTCCCCTTCTCCTCCTCACAGCATGACGTGTGGAAAGCTCTCCCAAGGAGCCAAAGAGCATAACCCTGGGGGCGCTACCGCTACCTCGACTCGCTCCTTCCTGGCCTGCTAGCCCCGCCAAGGAGCATTACCGATAGGCGCGCTGCCGCTGCCTCGACTCCCTCCTCTGTGGCTTTCTTTTCAAGCTGTTCTCTTTTGTTCTCCCTTCTCACCTCTTGTCTACCCCTGGGCTCTCTCCTGGGGCTGCCCACCAAGCGGCAGCATCTCTTCCCCTCCCACCGCCTCGTTACGAGCCCTCTCTCCTGCTTTTCTGCCCACGACACACCCCCACCCCCCTCCCCCTCCCCCGCCAGCATGACCGGCGGAAAGGTCTCGAATCGCATAAAGGAGCAGTACCCTTGGGGGCGCTACCGCTGGTTAGACTCCCTCCTGGGTCTCCCAACCAAGCGCCAGCGCCTGTTTATCTCCCACCGCATCGCCACAAGCCCTCTGTCGAATGCTCTGGGCTGCCTCGTGTTCCTAGGAACGCCCTTCTATGTCAAGAAGTGGGAGAAGAACGGCGTGCGGTGGCTCGTGCTGGCGACGGTGGCGAGTATTGTCGTGATGCTGATGGTGATGTGGGGCTATGCCATGCTCGTGTCTTACGCCATCCGCTCTGCCGTTGCTAAAAGAAGGTATATACAGAGCACCCAGGAATAACTCCCGGGCGCAGGTCACCTGCAGAGAAGGTACGTCCCCAGACTTGTGATGCTGGGTGTGGTGTGGGGCTATTCCATGCTCGTGTCGTACGTCATCCGTCACTACTATAGCAGCTTGATAGAGTTCGAAAGCATAATTTCAACGCACTAAATATTGCAGGAAACGGTCTATTATAGTCAGGGATACACACAAATATAGCAGTGATAATGACTTGATTCATTTCTGGTTTGTGCTCTTTGGTTTTATATTAGGACGCAATACAAAATGAAAACACACAATGCAGTGTCGACCCGGGTCGCGCGCTGAATTCCGTCGATGCGAAATTTCGAGCCTTGAATTTCGTCGAGCGAATTCCATTGACTGGAAATCCGTGGACAGTAATTTCCGCGACAGAATTCCGTCGACCACCGACTGTAACTCTCGTTAGAATTCCGTTGACTTCGACACTCGCTATTGAGTTTCGAACAGAACGCGACTCGAGACCGATTTCGCCAAACTGTTCCTAGATTGTTCCAAAACTATCCCCAAACTATCCCTAAACTGTCCAAAAAGGACTATTTGGAACAGTTAAATCGAAAGGTCTACAGTTTGAAACTCGCGTGCACATAACTAGCGCTTTAGCGGAAAATGTTCTGAATCTGTCTCGAGACACTTTCAAGACAGATGAAGGGTAGAGTTCGAATCCCAGCGCCGATATTTTGTTGCTCATGATAGCATTTCCTTCTAACAATCTGCAATGCCGTTGTTAAAAGGGGAGAGATTTGCCATGCAAGGGATTTGCCATGCAAGAGATGTGCCATGCTAGTAATGGCTATGCCATGTGCCATGCACGTTTGGTTCGCCATCCGCAATGCTGTTGCTCGCCATCCGCAACACATGACCTTCCAAAATAAAATACCATGTGTGATGAGATGATTTTTGAGTCAACTAAAAAACCCTCCTAAATATGACACCACGACCAGTTTAGGGAACGTTACCACATCGCATGTTACCGCACTTCATCCCTTTAGAACAGATGCTCCCTACATGGCGCCACTGATCATCTTTGTTATCCCGACCCCCCCTTCTCCCCCCCTCTGCACCGCATGTTACCGCACTGAACCCCTTCAGCGTGGACGCCCCCTACCTGACGCCGTTGATTGCATCGGCACTCATCCTGGTCTTCGCCACCATCAGTGTCAGCATCGAGGTGCGCACAAACCCACCCACTGCACCGCATGTTACCGCACTCAACCCAGTAGATACCCCATACGTGACGCCATTGATCGCGTCAGCGCTCATCCTTGACTTCGCCACCATCAGTGTCAGCATTGAGGTGCGCTCCCACTGCACTTCACCGCACTGCACCGCATCTTACCATCCAGCTCTCCCCCCTTATGACAACTCTCAAAATTGCCCCCTACTTGACTTCATTGATTGTGTGCCTCATCCTTGCCTTCACCTCCCGATCACCTCGACCCTCCACCTCTCCCGATGCACAGCCTTCTACCACACCGGTTATTACTGCAACCTCTCACCACCGCACTTCACCCCTCCGCCCATCACCTCACACGCTCTCCAGCTCTCCCGCAGGTGCAGCCTTCTACAGCACATCCTCCAATACAACCTCTCATCACCGCACTGCACCCCTCCTCCCTTCATCTTCCCCCTCTAGGTCTCCCGCAGCACAGCCTTCTACAGCGGAAACATCTATCATCGGTTACAGCAACCACTCATTACCGCACTGCACCCCTCCTCCCCACAATATTACACTTTCCAGGTCTCTCGCAGTACAGCATTCTACAGCGGAAACATCTACCACTCGCCCGACTTTGATTGGTCGCATGCCATGTCAGCACTGGTGGTCCACGCTGGCAAGCTGGATGAGGTGAGATTGGATGCGGTGAGATTGGATGCGGTGAGATTGGATGGGGTGAGATTGGATGGGGTGAGATTGGATGGGGTGAGATTGGATGGGGTGAGATTGGATGGGGTGAGATTGGATGGGGTGAGATTGGATGGGGTGAGATTGGATGGGGTGAGATTGGATGGGGTGAGATTGGATGGGGTGAGATTGGATGGGGTGAGATTGGATGGGGTGAGATTGGACGCGGTGAGATTGGTGAATTGAATCGCATTGAATTGCGTTGCATTGCATTGGAAATCATCGCAATGAATTTTATTGTGTTGAATTTCGTTCCATTGAATTCCATTCCAATGAATTGCATTGCGCTGGATTAAATTCCATTGCATTTAATTTTAAAACATTGATTTGCATTGCATTAAATTTCATTGCATTCAGGCCCTCCCCTTCAACCCCATCACCCCCACCCCCTTCCCTTGATTCTCCCCTCTATTTTCCCCATCCTCACTACAAGTCAGGCCAGCCTGGCCCTGAGTTCCGAGCCTATCGCCCGAGCCTACGTGTTCCCGCACCTGGCGAACATGCTGAAGCTGCCCTTCTGGAAGCCCCTCCCCCAGTTCCCACCTCACGACGCCGTCCCCCTCGACTGGCTGCTCTACTTCGCCTCCTTCGGCCGCATTCTCCTGTGGAACATCATCTTTATCCTGCCCGCCATGCTCCTCTCGTTACTGTCACACGTGGTGGCGCCGCTGGTGATCGGCGCGGTGAGGAACGTGATTGTGGTGATCAGCTTCGGGCTGGCTCAGAACGAGCTGAGCTTCGCGCATGTCTTCATGGACGAAGTATTGGACCTGGGGCTCTCCTCGCAACACGTGGAGCACTGGAACGTGCAGGTGAGCTCTTGCTGTAGCACTCACTGCAGGTGTGTGCTGCTCATTGCATGTCTTCATGGATAAGATTCTCGACCTGGGGCTCTCCTCCCAACACGTGGAGCACTGGAACGTGCAGGTGAGGGCATGGATAGGGGTGTAAGGGCGTGTCCTTCAATCAATGAAACGTGATTGTGGTGTTCAGCTTCGGGCTGGCTCAGAACGAGCTCAGCTTTGCTCATATCTTCATGGATAAGGTGCTCCACCTGGGGCTCTCCTCCCAACACGTGGAGCACTGGAACGTGCAGGTGGGAGGATGAAGGGTTTGCAGGGTGCAGGGGAGATGAAGGGTTTACAGGGGTTTCAGGGGTTGCAAACGTGGCTGTTACTTAATGCTTGGTGAATGGTTTTGAGTCGCTTATGCAGAAACCTTCATTCCCTCCGTTTTTGCAGAAACTGCTCGCTCCAACCCCTTCCCCATCTCTCCCCACCTCCTTTGCCGTTCCCCCCCCTCCCCCTCCCTCCCCCTCCCTCCCCCTGCTCTCCCCCTACTGCAGAAACTGCTTGCTCTGGCCAAGACGCGCTCGCTGCAGGGCGAGCTGATGGCGGGGTATGAGGATGACACGTGTGACATGGGGGAGGCTGTATTTGAGGAGGGGTTACTCAAGGAGAGGGGGCGTGGGGAGGGGTTACTTGGGGAGGGGTTACGTGCGACAGGGGGACCTGGAAATAAGGTTGATGGGAGGAAGGGGGAGGGGATGAAGGGGGAGGGAAGAGGAAAGGGTAAGGGTGTTGAAGGTGATGAGGCAATAAATTTAGGAAGGGAAAGGGAAGGGGAAGGGGAGGGAGAAGAGGAACAGGAAGGGGAAGGCAAGGGGAAGGTGAAAGGGGAGGTTGGATGAATGGGCAAGGGGTGCAGCAGGTAAGTTCGGGTGTGGGTGGGGTGGGGCCTGCAGGAAATGAGGTAGGCAAGAGTGTCGAAGGAGCACCTGTAGCACCAGAGCAGGCCGAGCGGCTGTAGCAGGGGCAGCGGCAGTAGCAGTGGCAGCGGCTGTAGCAGGGGCGGCGGCTGTAGAAGGGGGAGCGGCCGTAGCAGGGGTTGCGGCTGTAGCAAAGGCCGCGGCTGTCGCAGGGGCAGCGGCTGTAGCAGATGCAGCAGCTGTAGAAAGTACTGTGGCTGTAGCAGGCAGCATTGGGGCAGCGGAGGAAAAGGACAAGGAAAGCCGCTACCGCCCGACTCTAGACCCGTCTTTTAGCGCCTCTGCCGGCCAATGGCAGCGCAGCGCGAGCCGGCTGCGTCGACGGGTTACATTCAGGAGCGCAAGAACACTCAGAGACGAAACGCGGGGTGATGAAACCCCTGGAGATGTAACCCATGGAGATGAAACTCGTGGAGATGTAACGGCCGGAGATGTAACTCCTGACCGTCCTCTCCTCCCACGCAGCACAAGTCAAGACTCCTCCTCTGCTGACCCCTGTCACCCTCACACTCGGCCACGAGAGGAAGAGGGCCAGTCCAAGCAGCCGGCAGGGAGAGAGAAGCAGGTTAGCACGACCAAGAATGGTGATGCACGTAAGGGGGAGGAGAAACGCGGCGAAGCTGATAATCTGGGGCATGCCGTGGAAAGTGTGAATGGGGGTGCAACAGAGGGGAAGGCGCGTGGGCAGGAGCAACTATTGTACGAGTATTTATGGGATGATAAAGAGCTGGATGAAGCAGCTGCTAAGTGTCTTACTTACCAGTGCCTCAAGCCGGAAATCAAAAACATGTGGCGAAACCCGAGGCTTACCCCGGATGAGTTTGTTCGACAGATTAAAGTGCTATGCGTGATGATTGAGGATCGGTTTAAGGAGCTCACGGGTAAGTTTGACCTGAATCATGGAGCGTACTTCAGAGATCCCCGGATTTTAGGGGTTATTGCGCATTTTTTGGAGTTTCGGGAGCTTCCGGAGTGGTCGAAAGCGATTGATACTGATGTGATGAGAGCCGAGCACATGGTGCATACGTAGCTGAGGGTGGCCAAGAGGCTAGTGTTTTGGCAGACTCAAAACTCGTCTGGTTCCAGAGCGGTCGAAATAAAAAAATACCGATATGATTCGGGCACAAGGTGCATTGAAGCAGAGAATGTGCCGGGCGTTTAAGATGGCCTGGTACGGTATACGAATTCTGACCTGGTATGATAAGGACTCTATCTCGTATGATGCTTGAGAAGTGAATTTATCTATGTGATGTGATGTGAGGATTCCATGGGGATGATTGTAAATTTGTGAATTAAGATGGCCTGGTACGGTATATGAATTCTGACCTGGTATGATAAGGACTCTATCTCGTATGATGCTTGAGAAGTGAATTTATCTATGTGATGTGATGTGAGGATTCCATGGGGATGATTGTAAATTTGTGAATTATCTATGTGAATGTAGCACAACCTTTTGTACAGTGCAAATTTCGCACACCAACTTCTATTTTATGCGCTAGTTGCCAGCCAGATTCGACAACTGCCTTCCAGGCTTGCAACTTGCCATGAAGCCTGCGTAAAGGGCGGACGCCGCACCAACGACGCGTGACGCGAGCCGAGAGAGGATTTTCTGTGTGATGTTCACTCCCCACTGGTTTTGGGAAACACGATTGACCAATAAAATTATTGCACACCCAGTTGCCCTGCTGGTTCCCACAGGGCCATAAATCGCAACAAGATCCCCACCTCGCCACCCTTCAAAAACGCATTCACGACCTTTCCACCGTTCCTGAATCCTCTGTACACAGTTGAGAATGTCTGTTCTTATATGGGAAAAATGTACAGTGATCCATCCCTCGGGGATGTTGCCTAGGAAAGGGCGGGGACCGCAATGCCTTGGGAATGGCGTCATCGGTGGGAGGGTGGTGTTCACGGCACATACGTCTCATTTGACTATTGGCGGATCTGAAGAGCTAGTTCAGTGTTCACGTGCATTTCGGTCTCCCATAACGGAAACTGAAAGTATGGTCTTCACTACAGCAAAGCTTGTTCTTTGACTCACATTCTTGACGTGACGGTTCAAGAAGTTCATCCCAGGCGAAGTTGATTTCGGGATTCTCATTTCTGATGACTCTCTGTTACTCTTCTGCAGAGCGTCTTTAGTCCAGCAAATTTGGTCGTAGATTAGAAACTGCAGCTTTTGAGCATTAGACTTGAAAATCGCTTACCTTTAGTACGCAATGTCCGAGTCAGTGGCTAACCAGCGAGGAAATTCAGCGTTGATCTCTGAAGATCAGTGCAGGCAGGAACCGCGGAAGGGCATTACGATTCAGATTTATGAACCTGCGCTTCCATCGCCGCGTCGCGTAGCACCGTCTAAGAGTCCACGCGGGTCCGCATCGTTCAACGTCTTAACCTCTTCGGAATTGCAGATTCCTAAATCGCCACGTCGGATTGTTTCTCCGCAACTTACCTTTCCCGATGACGTTCCTAAATCGCCACGTCGGACACCCTCTCCGCAAGTTACCTTATCTGATCTCCACGGTCCAAGTCATGATGACGACAGCGACGCAGTGCTTGCTAGAGTAGCTACGAACGACAGCATTACTAATCTGCGGGCCGCTCGATCGCAAGCCACCCGAAACCAGGCCACTACCAGCACCGCACGTAGAATATCTAATAGTTCCAGTGCACGCACCAGCACGTCTAATGTTACTACACCACGTAGTAGCAGACGCACTAGTACATCTAGTTTTACCAGTTCGAATGCTCTTCCCGCGGCGCAGGAACCAGACGGTCGTCAAGGCGGGGAATCCGAGCAATCGGACGACTCCGTCAGCAATGACGGCCCTGGAACCAGCGAGAGCCGGTCGACGGCGACAACGAAGACGACCACATCACTGGAGCACGCCTTAGGTGCTAATGAGAAGATTAAGAGGCATCCATCAGGGAAATCTCGCAGCGCGCATGAGGGGTCGGTGATAGTATCGCGGGAACGGAGAGCAATTCCCGCATCAGCATCGCGTTTCGCTATTAGCTCGGAAAATTCTTCGGTTTACGACCTACAGGGGAGCGATAGCCGTCAGGAGAGTTTCAAACCGACAGGAGAGCTTTAATAACCGTCAGAAAAGCTTTAACCGGCAGGAGAGTTTTTGCTACGAGAGTATTGACTGTCAGAGTCACCCAGAGGAGCCGCGTGGCCGTCAGGGTCGATATCTCCGTCAAGAAAGCTTCTCGCGTGTGGAAACCCGACAGAAACCGTTTGACCGTCAGGAAAGCACCGGTCGTGAGATTGGTTATCGGCGACAGGCGAGCTTTCAGCTACCTCCTCAAACGTTACAGCAGCAGCAGCAGCAGCAGCAGCAGCAGCAGCAGCAGCAGCACAGGAAGCGGGCGTCTTTTCCTGAGATACACCTCGACTTGCCCAGTAACCCTCTCCCGAGCGAAAAGCACGGAGATACGACCTCTGGCACCCGCAGCAACAGTTTAGTAAGCAGCGGCATCGTCAGCAGCTGCAGCAGCAGCAGCAGCAGCAACAGCAGCAGCGTCGTCACCATCAGCAGCAGCGGCGGAGGCACCAACGAGTTTGGTTGCCACCCCACCAGCGTAGGCAGCCATAGCCCCGCTACCAGCGTTTCCGTTGATCTGTACGATGTCGAGGTGAGAATTAAGTTATTGCCAGGCGCAGTTGATGCAGCCAAAGCGCCGAGTCTGGCGGCGGGAAGGCTCCGCGCAGAGCCCGCGGGCCACCGCCGCGCGCAGTCCGCCGCCGACGCCTTCACCGCCGCGGATTGGGCGCACGAGCGCTTGCGCTCGTTTAACATTCGGAAAACCGGCGGAGGGGAAGGGGCTTCCGCAGGCGGCAAATTTTCCAGCCCAAGCGCAGCTCTGGCGGCGGAGGCTCTTCCTGCGCCCAGCCCGCGCGGGCGCAAAGTTTCAAGCGCTTTCGCGGGTTCCGCGAGCGGAGCAGCGGGGGGTAGAAGGCATCCCGCGCGCAGCCCTTCCGCGCGAGCGCGACGAGCGAGCGCGGATGCGACGGATCTTGGGGGAGCGTTGTCGATTGAGGGGATGACGACGGGGCAGCGTGACGGAAGAGTGACGGGAGAACAGAAGAGAGAGGAGGAAGAGATTTCGGAGAAGCAGCAGCAGAAGCAAGAGGAGAAGGAGAAGCAGCAGGAGCGGCGGCGGCAGAAGAAGCTAGCTCAGGCGAGCTTCGTAGATCGAAGGATCGGAGAGGCGACTGATCTTAGTCTTAGCCTCGGCGCGAAGGAGAATCTGCTGCAGCGCGGATCGAAGAGCGCCAACCAATGGCGCTCCGCCATCGAGCGCGCGCTTGGCGCGGGCGGGCTTGCGTCCCCGCGCCTGGGGGCTGCTTCGCTTGGGGATCTTGCGGAAGGGAGTGGAAGCGGGGATGAGAAACAACTTTCGGCTGCTTTACCTGGGAATCTCGCGGATGGGATGCAACACACTGGAGAAGCGGTTGTTACGAAGGGAAGGAGCGGGGCGAGGGAAGATAGAAAGGACGAGAGAAGTAACGAGAGGGTTGACGAGAAGGGCGGGGAAGGGAGGGGGCAGAAGAGTCCTAAGGGGGTGAAGGAGGAGAGGAAAAGCAAGGAGAAAGGAGTTAGGCGGGACAGGGAAGACAGACGTATGAGGGTAGAGGGGGAAGGGCGGACGAGGGTAGAGGGGGAAAGAGTTTTGGAAGAAGGAGCGAAGGAGAGAGGGGCGGAAGGCGGGAGGGAGGAGAAGAGGAAAGGGAAACGGGAGGAAAGGAGGGGGGACGGAACAGATGAGGAGAGGGAAGAAGGGTTGGAGGAAAAGAGGGAAGAAGAGGGAGAGGATAAGAGGGCTGGAAAGGGGGACGAACGGGTGGGGAAGGAAGGGGAGGAACGGAGTGAGAACGAACTAGAGGAGACAGGGGATGATTCAGTTTACAGAAGGCCCTCGCTCACTTCTGGTTGGCTGGGGTCGGCTGGGGAAAGTGGGGCTACCGCTGGTGAAGATGCAGCAGTAGCAGCAGCAGCAGCAGCGGCAGCTGCAACAGAGGCGTCACAAAGTTCCACGCTCTTGCTGCTGAGTCCTCGAGGCAACCAAACCATGCAGCAGCAGCAGCAACAGCAGCAGCAACAGCTCCTCTCAGCCCATCCGCCCACCTCCGCCCCTCCTTCTACTGCTCCACATCCGTCATGGCAGCAACACTTACTCCATCCTCCATCCCCCATTGCAATTGGAGCCCCTATTTCTCAAACTTTTCTTCCATCTTCCCCTCAAGCTTTCCCACAACAGCAAACCAGCCTCCCCAAAGTCAACCCTAGCCCTCCGCAGACGCACCTCCCTCAGATAAACCCGTCTGGAAATACCTCCCTGAACGCCAGAGGATTGCAGTCCTTCCGCCTGCCTCCACCTCTCAACGTAACAGATGCCTCCCTGCAGTCTAACATACCCATGCCCATGCCCATGCCCATGCCCATTCCCATGCCCATGCCCATGCCTGTGCACATGCCCATGCCCATGCCAGTGCCCATGCGCATGTCCACGTCGAGCCCTGGGTTGTCCCACCCCTGGTCCGGGAACCCTAATTTGTCAGATCGTGATTCGTCCCACGCCTCATCGTCTCACCCACACTCCCCTCACTCCCTCCCTCCACCACCCGCATCTCCCCACTCACAAAGCACTCACCTTCCCCGTTCCCTCCTCTCCCAAACCTTCCCTGTCCTCCCTCCATTTTCCCCCGTGCACTCCCACCCTCTAGCCCCGCCGTCTCCCTTCTCCTTCCCGCTCTCCCCAGCGTCTCCCTCTCAGCTGCTGCGGAAAGTGTGGGATGCAGAGGGGGCATGCGATAGCGGGGACTCTCAGGGGGATCTGTACGGGCTGGTCACGCCTGATGCTGAAGATTTGCACGAGTCTTGGCCTGCTGCTGCTGCTGGGGGTAGTGAGGCGCCGAGCGAATCTATGCCTGCGGTTGTTGGGGATCGCAAGGGGCGAAGAGGGGTAGCAGGTGGTGAGGCAAAGGGAAGTGCGGCAGATGAGGCTGGGTTTGAGAGCGATGGGAGTGCAGTTAGTTTTGACACGTCGCAGAGTTCTCAAAGCACAAAGGATGGGAGGGCGGCGAGTTTTGTCGCAGCAGAAAGAAGCGAAGGGGCGAAGGAGGAAGATGAGAAGGATGAGAGGGAGGAGGATGGGGATGAGGCTTTACCGGTGTGTAAGCCTGTGGAGAGTGATGGGGCACAGAGCGGGGGAATAGGTTACCAACAGCAGCAGGTACAACAGGTGCAGCATCAGCAGCAGCAGCAGCAGCAGCAGCAGAAGCAACAGCAGCAGCAGCAGCAGCAGCAGCAGCAGCAGCAGCAGCAGCAGCAGCAGCAGCAGCAGCAGCAGCAGCAGCAGCAGCAGCAGCAGCAGCAGCAGCAGCAGCAGCAGCAGCAGCAGCAGCAGCAGCAGCAGCAGCAGCAGCAGCAGCAGCAGCAGCAGCAGCAGCAGCAAGCAGCAGCAGCAGCAGCAGCAGCAGCAGCAGCAGCAGCAGCAGCAGCAGCAGCAGCAGCAGCAGCAGCAGCAGCAGCAGCAGCAGCAGCAGCAGCAGCAGCAGCAGCAGCAGCAGCAGCAGCAGCAGCAGCAGCAGCAGCAGCAGCAGCAGCAGCAGCAGCAGCAGCAGCAGCAGCAGCAGCAGCAGCAGCAGCAGCAGCAGAGCAGCAGCAACAGCAACAACAGCAACAGCAGCAACAGCAACAACAGCAACAGCAGCAACAGCAGCAACAGCAACAGCAACAACAGCAACAGCAGCAACAGCAGCAGCAGCAGCAGATTCAAAACCCACAGATTCAACAGGTGCAGCAGCAGCTGTTACAGCTGCAACAACAGCTGCAGCAGTTGGAGCAGCAACACGGTGTGCAACTCATGCAGCAGCAGCAACAGCAGTACAAATTCAGTGTGAATGCCACAACAGGTGCTACCCCCCAATCTCTCCACCCTTCAGTGCAACCTCCTTCCCACCCTCCGTTAAGCATCTTCCACCCTCCCCTCGACACTTCACTCTGCGGTCTTATCAGCAGTGGTGGTGGCTTCATAATCCCCACCACCAACACTGCAGGTACCACCATTCCCACTACCACAACTGCCACGACAAGCAGCAGCAGCAGCAGCGGCAGCAGTAGCAGCATCAGCGGCAGCACAAGCAGCAGCCACAAATTCAAGCGAGTACCAAGCACGTCTAAAGCACCTGACGCACCTGGAAAAACCCCTGGCACTCCAAAAGAACCCTCCTCACTGCTTCTCCGTCGTTTGTGGGCATCTGCAGAGGCCATACCAGTAGATCACCTTCTCAGCAAGGAGTCACTTCCCCCTCCTCCTTCTCCTCGCTCTCACGGGCCCCACTCTCCCCGCCCCACTGTTCCCTTCTCCTCCTCTGTTAGCGCTCTCTCCCCCCCTCCTCCTATTGGTAGAGCCACGCCACGTGGCAGCAGGAGATTGACCGTGGAGGTACCAGCTTGTCAGAGCGAAGATACTGATTTGCGTAGGACACCCAGGGCAACTACACCTAGGGCAAGTACACCCAGGGAAGGTACACCCAGAGTAGGTACACCCAGGGCAAGTACACCTAAAGAAGGCACAACCAAGGCAGGTACACCCAGGGCAGGTACACCCAAAACAGGTACATCCATTTTCAGCTCAACCAATCCCAAGGGTGAGGCTTTAACTCCTAGAATGCGGAGCCAAGGAACCAGATCCTTTAAAGCCTCTGACTCGTTTAGAGTAAGAGATGCTACAGGGCAGCCGCATAAGTCGAACAGTATTGAGGCTGGGGAGCCCGCAGCTGCAAAAGAAGGAGAAAAGGAAATGGAGAAGGAGAGGTGGGGGAAGCATGAGACAGTGAAGGCGAGAGGGCATAAGAGGGAGGAGGAGGAAAGCGAGGAGGGACAGAAGGAGAAGGAGGAGGGTAAGATGAAGGAGGTAGATAAGGCTGATAAGCCTGATAGGTCTGGGAGGCACCTGTGGTCCCAATTAAAGGATCGCCTGCGAGGGCGGTCATCAAACAGGAGCATGGATTCCATTGCATTCTTGCCACTCTCTCTTCCCCCTGCTGACCAAAACCACACCCTGCCTCTGTCCCGTTTGCCTCTCTCTCCACGTCACGCCCCTCTGCCTCCCGAGCAACCGGCTGCATCCCTGCTTCTGGCACCTGACACCCCTTCTTCCTCTGCCCAATTTTCTGGCCCCACTGGAGGCAGTAATGCTGCGAGTGTGGGTGGCAGGAGCAGCGGCAGCAGCAGGAGGCTCGTAGCTTCTGCTTCCTCTCGAAGCCTGAAGCAAGCAGACAGATCTGACGCCAGAAGGAACAGCATTGCTTGGCGTAGCATTGAGGAAGGTTCCAGGAAGGATAGTAGGTCAGATGCTGCTGCTGCTGCTGCTGCTGTGGGTACTGTTTCTGCTGCTGCTGGTGGTGGTGGTACTTTTGTTGGTACTGCTGTTGGCGCTGGTGCTTCCAGTGTTGCTGCTGCTGCTGCAGCTACTGCTGCTGCCGAAGCTAGAAGCCACAGGCGAGCCAAATCAGCAGTTAGTTTCGCGGTGGGTGAGTATATCGAAGCAGGGGTGAAGGGTGTGGGACTGAGCGACAGCGAATCAGATGTGACAATTGGCGGCAAGGTTGGTACCAGTACACATGGCAAGGATGAGGAGAGCATGGGGAGGGAAAGATTGGGGGAAAGACGGGGGGAGAGAGATAAGGAGAGTGGAAAGGAGAAAGAGGAGGGGAGGTATGATACAAATCGGAGGGATGTGCAGAAATGGGTGTCAAGCCTGGTTCCTCTGAAAGGCGGGGATGATGAGGATGAAGGGGACGAGGGGGGTGAGGGAGATGACGAAGATGGGGTGAGAGTAAAGGTGGTGCGAGTGGAGAGTGCTGGTGAAGCGACTAATAGTAGAAGCCCTAGAACTCCTGGGAAGTCTCCTGGTAAATCTCCTGGTAAAAACTCATCCGGGGGCAGGCGAAGAAGCCCCAGAAGTTTCAAGGAAGGGCAGGGCAGAAGTCCCAAGGGTGAGGCCTCGTTATTGGAGAATTCGTTAATAACAGATCATACTGATGATGAGAAAGAGCAGCAGAGGCGGCGTCGGGAGCGGCGGCTGCGGCAGTTGCGAGCGGGAAGGAGGTCGAGAGGTGGGGATGAAGAGCTAGGTTGGGAGGAGGAGGGAGATGAGGGTATGGAAGGGTTGGAGGGGGAGAGAGGGGTAGGAGGGATAAGGGGAGGTGAGAGAGGGAGAAGCAAGTGGAAGGGAGGCAGCAGGCAGGCATGTGCAGCTGAGATGTTGCTGATGAGGCAGTTGCAGGAGAGGGAAGAGGATGGGGGAGGAGATGGGGGAGGAGAGAGGCGTGGAGAGAGGGAACGTGGGAAAGGGAGCAGGGACGGGCGAGGGAACGAGGGCGAGCAACAGCAGGAGAGGGACCGCTCAGAAGTTGAGCGTGGAGGTGGGAAGCTGGCAAAGGAAAAGGATGAGGCGGATCTTAGAAGAGCACGGGATGGGGAGATAAAGGAGGGCGGGGAAAGGAAGGAGGGTGGGGAACGCCAGGAGAGGAGAGGAAGGAAGGAGATCAATGCAAAGCTCTCTAAGCGAGACAGTGCTTTAGCTCGCAGTAACGAGAAGGTGTATGCTACCATGCGCCGCTCTAAAGACCTCAAATCCACCAGCGGCGGCGACCCATCTGACCTTGTCAAACCCTTTGCAGGCTTTGATGCGTCTAAAGTTCGCGGCGCGATCACCCCGGGACGGTCTAGGGGGAAGGCTGCTGGGACCTCGTTCCGGGCAGCTGAGAAAAGCTTGCTGCCGGATCTTGAGACGACGGTGATGGATTTGAAGCTTGATCTGAAGGCCGCAGCAGGCGCAGGCTCGTCTCGGTTCGAGGAGCTGCAGCAGAAACAGTCTGCTTCAGCCGCTGTTGCCGCGGCCATCGCCGCTGCTACTGGTGGTGCTGCTGCTGGTACGGAAACTTCAAGCAGAAGCAGCCGGGCTAAAAGCCCTTGGCGAAGCTCCAAGGACCGTAGAGGAATGTCTCACGGCGACCTGCGCTTTGACCACCCAGAAGAGACTGTTGGGGGGCTAGATAGCACCTCTCTGGATAATACCTCTCTGGGTGACTCTGGGGGGCTGGGGCTGGGAGGGTGGGGGCGGGTGCGACGGTCTGGTGAGAGCACGGGGAGTTTGACTGTGGTGGTGAGCGGGAGTGGCAGGGAGAAGCTGAGGGAGAAAGGCCGGCGGGTGGGGAAGGAGCGGACGCAGGAGGGGGAGAGGGAGAAGGAGCGGGAGAGGAGTAAGGACGGGGGAAAATCAACCGCTGGTGCACTGGCACTTGATAACAGTCAGAGCAGCAGTACCCCTGGCAGAAGCAGCAGCAAGGATGGCAGCAGCAGCAGCAACCGTGCCAGCAAGCAGAACCAGAACCTCAGCCCATTACGAATTGAAATGCCTGTCTCCCCCCATACCCCATCGTCTTCGGGCTTTAAATCCAGCTTCTTAACCAGCATGCTTTCTCCCAGGGGAATTATAGGCTCCTGGCGGGGTCCTAAAGTGGGGCTTTTAGGCGGGGAGATTGGCTCTCTGCAGGAGCGGTACTTAGTTAAGCAGGAGATTGGGAGCGGGTCGTATGGGATGATCCGTGCTGTGAGGGAGAAGGAGACGGGCAAGACGTGGGCGTGCAAGAGCATTGGCAAGGAGCAGATACAGGTAAGAGAGAAAGAAGGGTCCCCACCTCACATGCCCCCTTTTCCACAATCCCCCATTTCCCAATGCACTCACTCTACCAATTGAGTCCTTCATACACCTGATCTCCCCTTCTCCCATTCCTCCACTCCCCCATTTCCCCATTCCCCCACTCCCCCCCCCATTCCCCCACTCCCCCACTCCCCTACTGCGCCACACCTTCAGATGAAGGCAGCAGTGATTGCTTTTGATGCAAGAAGTGGGGGTGATGCAGCTGCTGAAGGGTCATCACCCTCTCTTCCCTGCACTCCTTACCTCTCCTATTAAACCCCCCACTCCCGCTTCCCCACATACCCGCTCCCCCACTATCCTACCAGACAGGAAGCAGCAGTGACGGCCTTGAGCCTGGAAGTGGGGGTGATGCAACTGCTCAAGGGTCATCGCCCTCTCTTCACAACCCCACTGACACTCTCCCTCCGTTTTCCCACTCCCTCACGCCCTCACTCCCCCGTGCCCCGCTTCAGAGCAAAGCGGCAGTGGCTGCACTGCAACAGGAAGTGGGGGTGATGAAGCATCTTAAGGGCCATCGCGCTCTCCCTCTTGCATTCCTTCCCTCCCCTACTGAACCCCCACACCCCCACACCTCCACTCCACACCTCCACTCCTCCGCTTCCCCACACCCCCACACCCCCACACCTCCACTCCACACCTCCACTCCTCCGCTTCCCCACACCCCCACACCTCCACTCCCTGACTCCCAAACTCCCCCCTTCAGAGCAAAGCGGCAGTGGCAGCACTGCAACAGGAAGTGGGGGTGATGAAGCTGCTCAAGGGGCATCGCCCTCTCCCTCTTGCATTCCTTCCCTCTCCTACTGAACCCTGCACAACTCCGCTTCCCCACACCCCCACACCCCCACTCCTCGACTCCCCCCTTCAGAGCAAAGCGGCAGTGGCTGCTCTGCAACAGGAAGTGGGGGTGATGAAGCATCTTAAGGGCCATCGCCCTCTCCCTCTTGCATTCCTTCCCTCTCCTACTGAACCCTGCACTCCTCCGCTTCCCCACACCCCCACTCCCCGACTCCCCCCTTCAGTCCAAAGCGGCAGTGGCTGCACTGCAACAGGAAGTGGGGGTGATGCAGCTGCTCAAGGGGCATCCGCATGTGGTGGAGATGAGAGAGACAGTGGAGGATGACACGGTACGTGTGTGATGCATGTGTGTGTGTGTGTGTGTGTGTGTGTGTGTGTGTGTGTGTGTGTGTGTGTGTGTGTGTGTGTGCATGTGGAGCATGGTAGATGTATGTCTGGAGGCATGCGCACCCAAGATGTTGGATTTTCCCCATTCCTTTCCCCCATTCTTTTCCCCCGTCCTACCCCCCTCTCCCCTCTCTCCTCCCCCACCATCACGTGCACATTATCGTGAAGCTCTGCAAGGGAGGAGACCGCTTTGATCGCATCAAGCAATCAAGTCCTCCTTTGCTCCCCTTTCCTTTCCTCTTCCCTCTCCCTCCCCCCACTTATCCCACCAGCACGTGCATATAATCATGGAGCTCTGCAAGGGGGGAACACCTCTTTGACCGCATCAAGCAGCAAGTTGACTTTTGAGTCCCCCCAACCCCCCCTTCTCTCCCTCCCCCCCCTTCTCTCCCTCCCCCCCCTTCTCTCCCTCCCCCCCTTCTCTCCCTCCCCCCCCTTCTCTCCCTCCCCCCACCAGCACGTGCATATTATTATGGAGCTCTGCAAGGGAGGGGACCTCTTTGACCGTATCAAGCAGCGCAGCCGCTATAAGGCTCCCGCAGTGGCGGTGCTGCAGCAGCTGGCGGTGGTGCTGCGGGTGTGCCACTCCAACCCCCACCCCTTCATCCCCCCTTCCTCTCCTTTCTCCCACTTCCCCTCACCTTCTCCCTCCCTTCTCTCCCTCCCCCCACCAGCACGTGCATATTATTATGGAGCTCTGCAAGGGAGGGGACCTCTTTGATCGCATCAAGCAGCGCAGCCGCTACGAGGAGAAACCCGCAGCAGCCGTGCTGCAGCAGTTGTCGCTGGTGCTGCGGGCGTGCCACTCCCTGGGAGTCATGCACCGCGATGTGAAGCCCGAGAACCTGCTGCTCTGCTCGCCCCATGACGATGTTGCTGTGAAAGTTACTGACTTTGGGATTGCTGCGACGATCAAGTCAGGTGGGTCGATCGGGGGTGAGAGATTTGGGATTTGAGAAACATTGGGGATTGGCAAAGTTTGGGGATTGACAAAGAGTGGGGATTGAGAAATGGAGTAATGGGAGAAGCGGCAGCAGTTGGGTCTGGTCTGGTGCTGCGGGCGTGCCACTCCCTGGGGGTCATGCACCGCGATGTGAAGCCCGAGAACCTGCTGCTCTGCTCGCCCCATGATGACGTTGCCATCAAGGTCACTGACTTTGGGATTGCTGCGCCGATCAAGTCAGGTGGGTGGATGGATTGGGAGATCTGGGATTGAGAAGGATTGGGGACTGTAAATTATTTGGTTGAAAGATATGAGAAACATGTAGGGCTGAGAAACAAATGGATTGATGGGAAGTGCTGCAACACCTGGCGGTGATGCTGCGGGCGTCCCACATGTAACACAGCACAACAGGTAACCATCTCACAGCCTACAGTGCCATCCCCCTTCACTTCCCCTTCCTCGTTTTCCTGCCCTCTTTCTCGTGTCCCCCTCTTAGGAGCCAAGCTCACTGTGTTCCTAGGAGCCATGTACATGGTCCTAGAGGTGACCGTCTCAGTAAATCCAGTATCAAACCGCTTCGCTTCAACTTTCTGTTCTTCCTGGTTCCCATTCCATCTACCCTCCTCCCAGGCGCCAAGCTAATAGATCTCATAGTTTCATGTACGTGGCACCAGAAGTCCCTTGTCTCACATTCTCCACTCTCAACCACTTTTTCTTCCCCTTCATGTTCATCTTACCCCTTCCCAGGCGCCAAGCTAACAGACGTCATAGGGTCCCACATGTACATGACACCAGAAGTGCTCAATTTAAATTTCCAACATTTCCAGTATCAAACTCGCTCGCTTCCCGTTCCTGTTTGTCCTGCCTCTCTTCCTCTGTCCCCCGGTCCAGGCGTAAAGCTCACCGAATTCATAGGGTCGCACATGTACATGGCGCCAGAAGTGATCAACAAGAGCTACAGTGCCGAGGCCGACGTGTGGTCAGCGGGAGTGGTCCTATACGTGCTTCTGGCCGGCGTGCCGCCCTTCTGGGCCTCCACAGAATCCGGAGTGCTCGATGCAATCGTATCCAAGCCCCTCAACTTCTCCTTCCCTCCATGGCCGTCCATTTCCAAAGAGGCCAAGGACCTTTTAAAAGAGATGCTTAAGAAAGATCCGGCGGAGAGAATCACACTGGACGCTGTGCTTGGTAAGAGCTTCCACTAAGCACCGAAAGTTGCAATATTACTAGGCACTGCTGCTCTGTCGTTTACCATTTGTCTGTCCCTCTTGCTCGCACTCTCCTCTTGCTCGCACTCTCCTGTTCCCTGCACTCTTCTCTCCCTCACACCCCCCTCATGCTCGCACTCTCCTCTCCCTCGCACTCACCACTGCTTTTTCCAAGTCATACGGCCCATCCTTCCCTCTGCTGCATAAGTCCCAGCTTCCCATCGGTTCTCGTCGTGTCTCTCCCTCAAAACTTTTTTTTGTCTTGACTTTCAAATCACATCAAATCCTTATCTTCTCATGCCCCTCGCCAACCTTCGTCTCTCCAACACTTCCAATACTCACCCCTTTTTCCCTTTCGCTCTCTCTCCCTCCCTTCCTGTCCATTCCCTTCCCCCTCCATTTCTTCTCTCCCTTCCTCCCGCCCACCACAATTCCTCTCTCTCTCTGTACATACACATCCCATGCTCCTTTTTCTCAGAGCACCCCTGGATCAAGACTCACACTGCACAGTTGTGATACCCTGTCCATTCAGATATACGCACTTCTTGTTACTTGCAAACCTGTGCATCTATCAGGTAGGTTGCCATGCCGGATCGTTTGATGATATGCCACCGCCCCACCCCACCCCATCCCCCCTCTCCCATCATGCCTTTGGATCTGTATAGGGGACCTTTCTGCTTGTTTTGTGTAAATATAATGTGACGCGATCTTTTGTTAGACATTCTGATGTCCTGTCAGCAGCTTGAAACCTGTTAAGATACGGTAGTAGCTTAGGAGCATCCTTAGAAGCCATAGCTTGTTGTGTGGGTCTTTTTAACCCTCCTAGCCTGTCATGTGGGTCTTTTTAGCCCCTCATAGTCTTCCCAATTGTGTGATTTTCCTGCCTGGGTCTAAAAAGTCGTACGGTACTCGATACGGGTTAGATGTTATTAATCAAAGGTAAATCATTACGGGTCACTCACGAATCACAACCGAGCAAAAGAGATCTGACTATGAGAATCCCCTTGTTATGAGTTCACTATGCTATAATCTTTGTTGCTAAGAGGCTACCATGCTCTGGTGACATTGAAACACCACTAGGAAAGAATCTCTCTAGCGCGGAACCTGGCAGGCAGATTCTTGACTTCACTGGCAGCAGCAAAGCTGCGGTCAAGGAAGATGCGAATCTCGTAAAACCTGGTGACGATGGGTGTGACGACGTTCGCAGCTGGCAAACGTCGTTTCGTTATCGCTATCCCCAACCACGGCGCGTTCGTTGGATAAGGTGTCCAGCCAGTTCGTGTAACAGCTCGCGGGGATTCGTCCATCTTGCATTTGCGTCGCACAGGGATGATCGACGACGAGGGCGTGAGTTTCGCAAGCAGCGCGCCGCGACACAGTGGGCTGCGGAGAACGCGCCGCGAACTACTGTCGTGCGAATTGTCAAGTTGCAAATTGCAATGCAATGCCTTCCGCTCAAGCTCTCCTTTCTCTTGTTGAAAGCTACAGCATTTGGAGATTTGGGGGAGAAATTCGATTCGAACATTGCTTCACAGCCCTTTCAACAAGCCGACTCAGTACTGTAACACGGCACAGCAAGGCTTCACCCGCCTTCTTTCATTTTCGTTCATTTGAGGGGGGATACAGCTGCAAGATACGGCTTGGCTCTCCCGTTCCCCCCCATCAACTTCTTTGTTTCCCCTGCTCCCTCCAACGAACCACACCAACCAGCATCCCTTCCCCACTTCCTTCCAAGCCTGCACACATCCACACAACTTTTCAGTTCAGATCAGATCCGAGGCCAGGTAGCTCCAGCTGGCAAACAGCCGCGAATACACGTGAAATGTAACTGTCTTAGCTTGAATCGGTCCTAAAGAGGACCTTCGGTGCCGGACCGCAGCGCATCTGCTTTCCCCATACAGTGCATCTGCCGACGTAAGTGACGGCAACCAGCCATGAGTGACGGGAGGACTGAGGGGCGTCTCCCCTCTCCTCCTCTCCTCTCGCGCCGCTGCGCTGCGCGTTCCTGCCGTCGCTTTATGAGGCGCCTCACGACGGTGACAAGTCACGCTTCACGTCAGGATTGAGAGAGTGAGAGAGAAAAGAACGCTTGTCGCCCACGCCACTCACCTCGCGGAACAACCTCACTTCCCGTCGGCGTGCGCTGCGCACCTTTCCAAACTCCCAGGCAGCAGCATTGATATCCAGCATCCAGCAAGGGGGGGAGTTCCAGTGGTAGAGGTACTGATAGATACAAGGCGAGGCCTCTCACATAATCAGTATTGTGTAAAACGCTATTTCCTACTTCCCAGAGTCTTCCCCTTCCAGAGCCCCCCGCCTTCCAGTCCTCCCGAGCTGCCAATTTCCCGCCGTCCGATCTCGCACAGGGGCGTCGCAGCGGCATCATCGCATCGATCTCCGCGCATCGCGGCGTTGATCTCAGCGCACATATCGCGGCGTTAATATAGCGCACATCATCATGGCGCCTTCGACCGTCGGCCGTGCCACGTCTGCCACCCATATTGACGCTACTATCTCGATCGTCGCCAGTAAGTCCCAGTCGAAATTCGCAGCTCGTGGCAACGCGGCGGCGCGGCTCGAGACAGAGACGCCTTTTGAAGTTTCTGGCAGTCTCGGCGGCGGCTCCTGTCGCGATCGCGAGATCCCGGTGAACGCGGCGCCGGGGAAAGCGGCGCCGTCGGGAGAAACGGCGGGAGAGGCGACGCGAGAGAACGATAGTGGACCCGCCGCGTCTGCCGGCGCGGCTGCTCCCACGAACCGCATCAGTCCGAGGAATGGCGGCGCTCCGGGTCTGAAAGACGGCGGTCCGAGTCTGGTGCAGGGCGCGCCGAGTCATGATGCGACCCCGACGACACCTGCTACGACTCTTGCGGCTCGTGCGACGCGTGCGACGCGTGCGACGCGTGCGACAACTGAGACTGCTCGTCGGCGACGAGCGGTGAGCTTCGGAGGGGACCTCGTCGGCGACCTGGGTCGTGCGGTCTCCTGCGACGTCGCAATGTCGCCGAGCTCTCCGAGTCGCCGCATAACTACTAGTACCAGTCCTACTCGTTCTGCCCGTACTACCGCCTATTCTCCCGCTACTAAAAGCTACTACACTCGGTCGGGTGGTGCGTCTCCTGCCGCCGCCGCGGCCGCCATTCCCCCGCCGCCTTCCTCGAGCTTTCCTGCGACTTCCGTGTTCCTCCCAGCCTTGCTGCGACTGGGGGCCGATCTGTGCGACGACCCCGACGACAGGGAGCACGTCGTCGCACAGGGGTTCGCGCACGCCCATGCGAAACCGGCGCACGGTCGCAGGCACCGTCGCACGGGGAGCCTGGATGCAGTTGTATTGGCGGAAGCGACGGCTGCTGGAAATTGCGTTACTTCGGCGACTGGGGGTACTAATACCACCCGCAGATGCGGCGCGAAGCCCGAAACTGGCGTCACTGGCGCCACCACTGGCGCCACCACTGGCGTCACTGGCACTGGTGCCACCACTGGCGCCACCACTGGCAGTAACCCTGCGACAGATCCGGCGCGCAGCAGGAGAGAAGGCTCTAAGAAGGTCCAGGAGACTCCAGAAGATGCCACGTGTTTCCCAGCCACGTCTGCTTTGGAGGAGAGCAGCAGAGAGAGCAGCGGCGAGAGCAGCAGCATCAGCTGTGTTGCCCCCAGAGGAGGATTTGAGGGCTTTAAGGGCTTTCAACCTGTTCCCACTGCCTCTCAGCCCGATGCTGACTCGCTAAAGCCTGCAGCCTTCGGTTCTGCGCGGTTCAGTAGTTCTGCGGAGGGCTTTCAGGGCTTGAAGGGCTTTAAGCCTGCGCTGCTGCGGCTGGGGGACGATCTGGGAGACGACCCCGACGACTGGGAGTGGCTCGCAGGCGGGCAGCAGCTGACGTGGCGCAATCCTGGCAGCCCGTTGGAGGGAGAGGCTTGCGGAGTTGATGACTGCACTGTTGCTCCTGCGAGCCCCATCGCCCAACACGCCACCCTCGCCACTGCCCACCTCGTCGCCTCCCCTACCACCGCCGCACCCGTCGCTGCACTGCCGCCGCGGTCCCCAAAGCCTGTGGCTCGTCCGGTTGCTGGTAGTACTAGCTCCCACGGCCAGCAGCAGCAGCAGCGGCGGCAAGGGCAGCGCAGGCAGCAGCAGCAACACCGCCGAACGCACTCGTGCCACGCCAGCTTGCAGCATGGGCCGGCGTCAGCACGAGATGGTGAAGGGATGTCGTCGGCACAGGCCCCCCCATCATGCAGTGCAGGCTCGGACGGGTTTGAAAGCTTTACGTTGTTCGAGAGATTAGAGCGGTTGGAAGGGTTGGAAAGGTTTGACACGCTCGAATCCAACCAGCCCAAGTCTCCTCCTAGCCTGTCCCATATGATGTCCCATGATCCATCCCCTACGCTATCCCATCAGCTGCCCACGGTGCATCAGCCCACTGGGCTCTCCCATGAGCTATTGCCTGGGCAATCGCCTGGGCTATCCACAGTGTCGCCTCTCCAAATCCTCCGTGCGCGCTCCCCGTGCTCTTCCCCCTCTGCAAAGTCGTGGACAGGAGGCTTCTTATCCGGGAAGTTTGGCCAGGGGCGGGTGGAGCAGGGGCATGAGAGGGGGCATGGAGAAGGGAAGGAGGGGCGAGGAATAGGAAAGGAAGGGGAGAGTTGTAAGGAGAAGAGAGCGGGTCACAGAAGATCGTTGTCCTGGGGAGCTCCTGTCTGCATTCCTGTTGTCCGCGTTGACCGCGACTATGCCGGTCTCTCTGAAATTGTTGACTCTGTTGACTCTGTGGACTCGATCCGTGCTGCTGCTGGTGCTGCGGCTGCAGACTCATTCGGCTTGGGTGGGTCAACTTTCTGTAGCAGAGATACTTCCGCTTCTACTGCTGGTGGTTATCCCGCCGCCGCTGCTGCTGCTGCTGCTGCTGGTTATCCCACCGCTGCTGCTGCTGCTGCTGCTGCTGGTTATCCCGCTGCTGCTACTGCTGCTGCTGGTGGTGGTTATCCCGCTGCTGCTACTGCTGCTGGGGTTCCTCAGGACAGCCTTAAACTAGCTGGCTTGTCAGACTCAAGGCATGGAGAGAATCAATGGCCAGGGCAAAGGAGGCAGGGCAAACTAGGCGCTCTGAGAATTGCTAAAGCCATGGGTGTGATGATTCCAAGACCAGACAGCATGAAGGCTCATTGAAATAACATTAATGAGGCATTTTCAGACTGGGAGTTGCATGCTGTGAAATCGATTGCCCTGCCCAGCTATACTTTAGAAAGCTATCTACCGTAATCTGTTCCGTTTACCTCTACCTTCCGTGCAATGCAAATTACATAACTGTAGCACACATGCTGGTACATTTTTCTATCCTACTTTGATGGGTGGGCACGCGTGTTGGGCTGAGAACCAATTTCAATGTCAGGGCATTTGCATGCATCAAGGGCGCAGGGTAGGGTTGGGTGTGTGGAGCGAGCATCGGACTGTAGCCTTGGCAAATATCGGAATCATACAATTAAAAAACAAACAACTCAAAAACGAACAACTCAAA